CTTGCAAGCAATCAACTTTTAGAGGAAAACCAGAGTGAATTAACAATTTAATACTTCACTGTACTTTAAATACTTCATTGTACTTTATCTGAACAATACAGTAGCAGATGTTGAAGACAGTCTTTTCAAAAGAAAATTCAGACGCAAAGGTTGAAGCAGCCAACAGTAAGGAAAGTCTAAGCAGTAAAATTACAGAGAGAGTGGTTTGCTGCATCAGTAGACACATTGCAAGGAATACTGTTCCACTGAAAATCATGAATTATAACTTCATTTCCCTACTGTTTGCCTATAAAAAGGAAGGGTGGAATACACTATGCAATACTTACCAAAAACTTGAAGGAATGTCTGTTTTTTATCATTTCCTGCTTTGTTTTTAGCACTACAGATGTATGGACCGGCATCGATATTTTTTATATTTCTTATTGTTAGTTCTGTATTGCTTCCTCTCAATATATATTTTTCATTTTCTTCCATAAGTTTACCATTCCTAAAAAAATAAAAAGGATGTATAAAAACCACCAGTATCTGCCATACGCTGAAAGAGTGCGCTATGGAATCATCAATCAATTTAAAATAATCTGTGTTGGAAGACAGTGCTATTATGCGATCCTCAAAAATGCATTAACTAGTGTGACATAAATTGGCAGTATGTACACAAGGGAGTTGATTTCAGCATGATGAAAATTGTTCTGCTGGATGACAGCTTCTATTCATAAGAATGTGCACATTCTAGACATAACCAAATCATTCTGGACTATATTTTGATCTTCAGAACCCCGACCTCACAATTTTATTGTCAAGTTCTAAAATATGTATCTATTAAAATATTATAATATCTTTATTCTTAAATTTTCAATTTTGACTTTATGGTAGAAACATATACTTGTGAATAGAACTCAATAATCTATTGCTTGCACTCAAGGAAGGATAGAGAGAAATCAGTAAGACAAATAAACATCATACATACTTTCATGAGAGAAACATTTAGAAGTACATTTTTAAAGTGTACTGTTGCACTCACATCAGGAACAATGTAAAAACTTATAAAAATTATTTCATATTACTTATATGTAGAGTCTATTGGCACATAAAGAACTCTTCCAAATTATTTCTTCTCTGTTTTTGTCGGCTAGCCACAACTTAGCAAGCAGACACATCTCCAGATGTCACAATGAGTTCTGACCAGATGGTATAGAAATAATAAACCTATAAAGAATTCTGATGGGTCGTCAAGGCTTGACCAGTCCATTTCAGCACCTTGGCATACACACAATTATCACAGCTATTTCTTCTAAAAATATGCTTTTATATGTATATATTATTTCCTCTCAAGTTGCCTTGTTTGCTTTAGTCTTCTTTTGACCTTATTGCTGTTGAACCATCAACAGCTCCTTCTCATAAGCACCTACATAAAAATTGCCTCATTTTCGTAGATGTTGATAATCCTGCTGACAGTTGTAAATCTAGAAAACAAACTACTTGTGAAATGAAATGAAAATGCATATGTCTAGTTTTATGGCAGCTAGTTTTTTTGAAGAACTGGGCAATAACGATTTTCACTTTCTCTCTGCTATTGTAATGCTGATAGTTACATATATTACAGTATTTTCTAAAATAGTATTTTCCCTATAAATAACAATATTTTTTCTTTCTTAGGAACATTAATAGCTGTTAATAGTGTTTCCCTGGCATCCATACAGCTTGCATTTCAGCAACTTTTTTGAAGACAACTCCATTTATCTACCTAATTCATTCCATTATGATGATACTTGTTCATTTCTTTTTCAAAGCAAACCACAGAATTTGTATAGCAGAACAGAAAAGGTCTAATCTTCCACACAGTGTTTAAACAAAAATTCCAGTGATTTCTGTAGGAAACGAAAGTCTATATTCAAGGTCAAATATAGTTTCCAAGCACCTGTCATTCCAAACACCACCTGTATCTATGATGATTTCTAAGCAGAAATGAGATTATGAGCTTTTCTCTGGAACCTCTAAGGAATGGGAACAATTCATAGTGATGCCGATATTATAGAAAAATAAAACATGAATAACGCATTACAAGAGGATTATTTCTTTCGTTAGATAATTCTAAGTCCTGTCAGTAAAGATAAGGGAATTGATCCAGCTAAACTTTACCAGTGTAAATTATCTGCACACGTGCAATCCTGTTGGGTTTCAGTAGGACTATTCACATGAGTAAAGATTACCAGTTCATGACCTGTAAATTTGAATCTTTATCCTGGCAAATTTAATTCTATTAGTGTAATCCTCTTCTGAAGGTTACAAGTTTTATACTAGTGTAAAGATATCAGCTTCAAGAGATATCAGTAAGTGGTGAAAGCATTAGATTCGCTCAACCTGTGAAATATTTACAAAGTATATTTGCATGTTAAATAGAGCAGCAACTAAACCTGGCTGACCTTTCTTCATTGCTAGGTATTTTAAACTGATTAACCTGTAAGTGAACTAAAACATTTTAAAAGAAACATTGACACATTAGCTCAGTTTCCTCCATTCTGCATTGAGAAGATCTTAAACTTTGTTGACACTTAGAAAGAAAAGGGATCTAAATAGATAAAGTTCCACCATATTACATATCATCTTATGGAGTATGAAGCTTCAAAATAGTGCTTTGTTCAGCATTCTGCTTACAGTCAACACAGAGGGATAGGAAAGCCATCTAAATAGTACTGCCACCTGATCTCAAAGGTATAGCAATTTTTCTTGTCCTAGCTGCATTTGACCTGTTGTTAAATTAGTTCATCGGAAACAGAAAATGAGAGAATACAATAAAGAGATATTACTTTTTAATTGATTAAAATATAAGTTGATTAGGTAGGTAAGACTAAACAATGATATATGCAGACTATCCAGGCCTTGCTAAAGAAACTTCACCAGAGCCAGTGAGAGATTCCTAGGTGTCACAGCACATTTTTAAAAGTAACAAAAACACAATAACACTGAACTGTATATAAAATAGGCCCTTAATCTTGATGAACCATCTCAACCAGTACGGATGTACTCTACATGCAATAATAACGAGAACCCTCCAATAGAATTGGAGTAGAACTCACTCCCACCCTTCGTATCAATCAAGATTTTTCTTCAGCTTGCCAGGAACACTATCTAGAATGAGGTTTGCTTCACTCTGAACAGAACAGTCGAGCTCCGCTCATCTTATATTCTCTGTTTGTATATCAATAATAATATCCTGAGAGATCAGGGCCCTTTTCTATCAAGCACTTTACAGTCCCTCACTCCCAGCAAGTCAAAAAAGAAGAATATTCTCTACCTGTAAAGAGCTTACAGCCTAATAAGACAAAATAAACAGACGACAAAAGAAAAAACTGAGGAGCAAGGCACATAATCCATTATTGCACAACATGTACTGTGCCCAAACTGGGAACAGAACAAAAATGTACTCGTTTAAAATCCAGTACCCAGTACCCTAGCTTGTGAAGCTTTTGTAAGATCTTCCCAAAAGATACTTAATAAAGAGTTCTAAAAAGTCACTTGTCTCAGGGACTGGCAAATCAAAGGAAAATCTCTCTCGGTAGTCTCTGATCAGCAGACAGAACCAAGACATTTAGTCTGTGTACAGACTATATTAATAAAATACTGAAAAACTACAATTGTAAATATAGATATCCAGGAACTGTGGCAGTTTATGTATGCTTTCTTTCTTAACAATGTAAAACATCACTGTTGGGTCGTCTCATAGTGGCCATCCAGGATTTCAGACAACTCGTAAGAGTTTTAGCCAGATAAGAAGTACATTGTAAACAATGACTTCAAACACATTAAATAATCAGAACGCTCAACTGTAGCTTGTGAACTCAGTATCTGCTCTTTAATTTCAGCAGTGCAAATTTTATTTTTCTTTTTCCTCCTCTTCACTAGATTTTCAGTTCTAAGTCATATTATGGAATTAACTTTTGTGTTCTCTTGATTTTCATCCCCTGCCATTCAAATTACTTTACATAAGAGAAACATGTTTAAATCAACATTTGGCTTTTGGCTTGTTAAAAAGAAAGGTGTCAGTCAAAGGAAGCTAACATTTAAAACAAATCTAACAATGTCTAAAGATACCAAAGGAGATTAAGAACTGATGGGAATTCCTTCTAAGTCCATTTTGCACCTGAAAATGCAGTGACCTTTTGACTCCCTTGAAATATTATAAGTGGATGCAAATTATTCTTACCTAAAATAGAAATGTACACCCATACCATATCTGAGGTAATGAATCTAAGATATTTGATATCCCAGAACTGATTTATATTTTTGTTACAAGTAAAAGAACACAAAGCATATGGATATTGAAATTTTTGAAGCTGTTGTAGAGTAAATGCTTCAAAATGACATGGGTTTACTTTATTTATTTCATTGTCACCACCAAAAATTATATATGAAATTTAAAAGCAGTTCCGTATTTCAAAACATACTATCTTTAAAAATTGTATAAAATGTGCTTGCAACTTTTTTAATGAAACATTCACACATGCTAACAGCGTCCAAAGCCATATCCGCTTCTGAATATCTCATTGAAATGGAGAGTTATGATTAGAATCTTTTTTAAAAAGGTACTATCTTTATAGATGGGCAAAATGTTATTTTTGTTAACAGTACTGTTGATTTGTGTGGGACATTTATTTATGGCATAACTGCAAAGGTTTTTTGCTTGAAGCATTCATGTTCAAAAACTTTTGCTACATTTTTGCTTTGTTTTTGAGGTATGCACTCCTTGCTTCAACTTTATTTGTTTTCTCTGAAATGTGAAGACATTACCTTAATAAAGTATTGTAGTTATATTTTAAATTTATTTCACTTGCTGGTAACTAGAGAGCAACTGATTTGGTACAAGTTCAGTCACTTATTAATACTGAATGTACTTTTAGAAAACACATTTAAACGACTCTCTTATGTGCAGATCTCAATTGAACTTACCTATACCAACTGATTTCAGGTGGAGGTGATCCAGTGGCTCTACAGAATAAAGTTATTGCCTCTCCTCGATCTGCAGTGGCATTAAAGGATTTCTGTAGCAGAATAATTGCTGGGGGAACTGAAAAATAAAACATTAGGTCCTGTTAATGGAAAAATAGAAGATTTTATGTATTTCCGAGAAAATTTAAAGCATAGGATCCTTTGCTAATTTTGGAATTTATAGTTACAGTTAGTGATTAACTTACTATATTTCTCTTCCTATATTTTTCTCAGACAACACATGATGATAGATTTCTAATGTTATCAAGACATTTATGGTATCTTTTGAAAAGTGACCAAAGCCATCCCTAGCACGCACAAGATATAGAGTGGAGTTATGAATCACGTTAGTTTAACTATCTCAAATGAAAATATATCTCAAGTCTCTTTTCTCTTTTATTCAATCGTATAGTGGACATTCAACTATGCACTGAGGTCAGATAGAGTTTTTAAACCAGATACAGAAGTATCACCAGCTTAAAATGGTGAAATGTGACAGAGTTCACAAATGTGATGGGTACAATCTGATTTCTGAAATTACATTTCCAAAAATTCTACTGTGCTCTGAGAACCACATATTTTATCTGTTTTTGATGAGATGAAGTTATTAGTAAAATTATTAATAGTTTGCAGATAACCCCTCCCTAACAGAAAAAATAGTAACAATAGTACTTAAGACAAAACAAATCACAAGAGGATACTTCTTATATCTGTTCATATGATAATTTTAAGACAGCTGTTCTGAATCTGTTTCCATTAGGTGTCAGGTAAATATGCAAATAAAAATAATCCCAGCAGACTGTAAGGAAGAAGATATGTGAAGGAAAGAGAAGGCATGTCAGGGAAAGTGAGAAGGGGAAGAGAAGATTAGACCTTCGCGAAACTTAGCTCTCTACTAGCAAGAACAATGACTCAAGCCTTTTTAGCTTTAACTTACACTAGAGAAAAGAAGGACAAACAGGCAACCTTGATGAATTTGCTGTTTGTTTCCTACTGCTCTTCCACAGGTTTTTCTCACACTGTCAAGAATCAATTTCTGTTGCATTAAAGCAAATATTTCATCTTTAGTACTCCACCTCAGAAGCATTTATAGCCTCTGAACTTTAAATATATGAAATCATTAACAATAACATACCAGAATTATCAATGATCAATGATTGTTGTTGCTTTGCTCTTAAAGAAAAATGTTATGTACTTTTCACACTTTTTTGATGCAGTGAGATGTTCAGTCTGTTTCACGGATCACTTCTTTCCTATCGGAAATTGCATAGGACACTGCTTAGCATAGAAAACCTTCCTCTTGTGCTAGGGCAACTTTTCCATACTCCATGAAAAAAAATGTCACTTTCGAAGTGTTTAATATATTTTTAGCCATTTCACAGTGCATTCTAATCTCTAGACCTGAGAATATATTTAGCAACATCAGGTGACGAATCAATTCTTTGTCAGCAGTAGCAGGTTCTTGACTGAACCACAACTAAGAATTACAGGACTATGACTCAGTTCAGTATATCACTTAAGCATCTTGCAAGAGCTATTATGATGATGATCTTACATGAAATATTAATTTGCTTTTCAAAACTCAAATTTTATTTTTCTCATAGCTCTTTCCGGGAAGTCATCTCTTTATCTTTGATTCTGACCTTGCATGTACATAGGATGGAACTGAGGAGTGAGGTCAAAAGAGGAAAAGCCAAGTAAGTTTAGATATGATAAGCAGCCTAGATATTACTGGCCAGACACTTGCATTTCTAACTTCAAGTAAAATGATAAAATCCAGTCACACTTAAGTCAAAGCAACTCCTTCTATTTATTTCAATGAGACCAGGATGTCTACCCAATGTATGAAAATTCCCAAACATACAAGAAAACTTCAAGAAACAAATCTAACAAACTCCATCCAAAAAATAGTTCTTATTTCAAGAGAACTTGGACTTTTTTGTCCTATTCTACATTTGCAAGATTTTTGTTTAAGTATTTTCTGTTTAATATATATTTTGTTCACATATCATCTCTAACACACTATACAAAAACATATCTAATACAATGAACAGCCAGCTAAAATTACAGAGATTTTAAAAAGGTATAAATATTAGTTTACTTATTGTAAGTTGCCTTCACACTTTTTTATAGTGTGGTGAAATGTTATGTCTATTTAACAGATCACGTCTTTCCTATCTGAAGTTGCATGGGCCACTGACTGCACATGGAAATACTGGGTCCCCTTCGGTGATAAACCTCCAAATTTATGGATCGGTAATCTAGGTGCACAGATTTTAACAGTTCCTCCGCAAGTTTACTCAGTTTTCTTCTTTTTCATAAATTAGAAGAGAGAGCATTTGTCTTGCATTACCAGGCCTCACCATGAAACTATTCAGCACAGAGTCTTGGTCTTTCAATACTAACCAGAAAACTGTTTTTTCTACAGCTTTTATTTCTTAAAACTATGTGCAAATGACTTGAGTCATAACTGCTACTGTGATCAGCTAGTTTGGACACTGGTATAACAAAGAACATATTCTACTATGCTGACACAATATAAGCACACTGACAGAAACACTGTCCATTTTATCTTTTCTTTCCATCATTTATGTCTCTTCCAGGTATGAATTAGCCAATATTATGAAAACTAGCACAGCACCCTTATACAGATGATAGGTGTAAAGAAGGGAAGAGATGCTTTCAAGACACAAGTTTTCAAGATGGGGGAAGGGGAGTGGTATAGTGGCAGGAGAGTCAGTAAAACACCGCTCAAGTCAGGATGCCTCCAGCGGGTGCGTACAGCCAGGGGAGACAGCATGGAACCTGGCTGTGGAGGATCCTCTTGCACCTCTCCTGGGAAGCTTGCATGCTTGACTGGCTCTCTGAAATGCCTGTATACCAATGCACACAGCATGGGGAATAAGCAGGAAGAGTTAGAGATCTGTGTGCGGTCGCAGGGCCATGATCTCATTGCGGTTACAGAGACATGGTGGGATAGTTCACATGACTGGGATGCTGTCATGGATGGCTATGTGCTTTTTAGGAAAGACAGGCCAGGAAGGCGAGGTGGTGGAGTTGCCCGTTATGTGAGGGAGCAACTCGAATGTATGGAGCTCTGCCTCGGGGTGGATGAAGAGCAAGTGGAGAGCCTATGGGTAAGGATTAAAGGGCAGG